AGGGGAGATGGTCCAATTACAATCCCAGCGATGCGTCTGGACCGCGGGCGACTTAGGCGAAACTTTGGCGCGAGCAGGAATTTTTATTGAAGGGGGAGTGATTCGGATCGAAGGCAAAAGTGTGACGCGCGGCGGGTGGAGGAGGTGCGCGGTGTGTTTGAGTTGGCGCACGTCGCACGCCCCTGTCCACCTGCCGCTGGACCCTGTGCAGACAACCCTATCTCAAGCAGGGCAGTAAAGTTGCATTAAAAAAAAAAGAAGAATTAGTGCACTTTTGTTAAGCTCACACAAATGCCTGGCGCCACTCAGGCGAGCTCAAGTTAAATGAAACAGATGTTACGTAGTCCCTCCTTGTGGAGCAAGTGCACTCCTAAAAAAATCAGTGTTGACCCACTGAGGCATAAAGTGCGCAACTGGCGTGTACATGCAAAAGTGTTCAACAATTCGTTGCACACTTTTTAGAGTTTGACTGGGCATTTCTATTTTAAAGAAAAACAAAACAATTAAGTTGAACGGTCTGTTGTGTTGTGTTCAGGGTTGTCCAAGCTTTGGACACTTCATAGTGTTCAAATTTACAGTTGAATACTTCAAAAATGTTCAAATTTACAGTTGAATACCTAAAAGTATTCAAATTAAATTTCCAGTCCAATACCTAGGAGTGAGAACCATAGGGCTTGACGCTACCAACCATGTGCATGCCAGTTGCACACTATTGTTTTCAGTGCATGGGTTGCGTTGCACGTGCCCCGAGAGGGACACTTGCCTGTGCTAACGCCGAGGCTACCGCCACCAGTCCCTGGACGGGCGCCGGGAGGACGGAAGGGGAGTCCCGGGGTCTCGCGATACCGGGAAGTGTCGTAACTGGTGGCAACAGCCGTGCCGTGCTGCTCGTTGTTCCCGTGGTGCGGGACAAGCGCTGACCGACGTCTCTGGGGCCTATTAAGCCCCATCAGCACTTCGCAGCCGCCTCACCTCGCCAGGGGGCAGGGGGGGGGGGCGAGTAGCACTCGGGCAGACCCTTCAGCCCTCCGTCCCGACCCCAGAGGGACACCGACACCTGCACAGGACAACGCCGCTCCAAGGCGGCTACTCTACCCCTACCGGCAAAGCTACACGAAAAAAAAATGACTTCGTTGTGAGAATCAATTATGTTTGGTTGGCTGAATTCGATAGCTGAAATCGAGAATTCGATACCCACAACCAGGAGTTAGTTGCCACGACCGGACACTTGTACTATTAGACCGAACTCCCCAGCTTGGTTCTATTCGTACAACTGCCCGGTCGTGACAACCGACTCCTCCTTGTGAGTAGCGGATTCTCAATTACAGCTATCGAATTTAGCCTACTAAATGGAACTAATCCCCACAATAGAGTCTTTTATCCGTCTGTTTTCGCCACGACCACCGTGTTCTATCTCAACATGAGTAAAGGAAGACCTCCACTCCGCGCCGCCAGGTGAGCGTGCGCCGATGATGTGTGGCGGGTGGGTGCGACCATAATAACTACGCACTGCTCTCTCTACTCTCTCTCACTCTCCCAGCATTTCTAATTCAATTTAACAGCTCAGTGAGGCCGTATTGGCAGCAGCCCAAGCAGTGCTGCTCCGGGCCGCGTGCGCCGCACAGCCACACTCACACAGAGAGGGAGAGTGAGTATGTGAGTGTGTGTGAGTGAGAGAGAGGGGGGGGGGGAGCGAGTCCATTTTAGTGAACCCCTACCACCATGCCCATGCTTCGTCTCCAGTCTCCACCACGTCGAGCTTTACGCCCCCTCCAATTTAGAGAGGCTTTTCTTTTTACGTGCGCTTATACTACGATACGTCTGTCACGACGCTAGTGTGTGTTAGTGTTAGCGTTTTCTAGTCGGTCCGGCTGTTTCCTTTATTCGTTCCCGATTCGTTCGTTTGTTCGTTATTCTATCTGTCCGTTTATCCATCCTCCCGTCCATTCGTATTTATCGGTCTTTCCGTCTGTTCGTCCTCACGTCGACAGACGGACGATGTGATCTCGCTTGATGAATGTCCTGTCAGGGTTGGGAGTGGGTGGGAGGATGCGTTTGGATCGGTTCGGATACAGGCTGGAACAAGATCAATATATTCGCTGTATCGGTATTTTTTCCTCGTCTTGGCAAGCTCTAGAAGAGCTGGACAGTAGCGGGTCTGGCAGTTACGGATCGCGTTACCGTTATATATTTTGATCGACAGAATAATACATTCATGTGACCCTAGCCACCTGCCAGTAAGCTCAGTTGTGACCCGCTGTCTATTTATCCCAGGGACGAATATATCAAAGAAGAAAACTCTAGTAACTTATCATTTTCTTCCCAAACCACACGGAAAAATGAGTTAGTTTCGCCCACAAAGTGTTAGTTGATTCTTGGATAACTGACTGGTTTTAGTTCCAGCAACCAACATGTAGCAGAGCGCTTGCCGTTGTTGTTTTGAGAACGAACGCGTTCTTTCCGTGGGCAAAGAAAGGTTTCATTGTCCTTGCAACAGCCTTGTTCCGGCGCCGAAATGTTGGTTGTAACAAATAAATATACGAATGGATATTCACACACCTACAGGTGAGCGACGTTCACACACTTGCGTTCTTGCGTTTCCAGTGGGTGGTGCAGGATAGCGAGGGTGGAGGAGGAACCCCTCCTCCCCGGGGATAACCGCTCATATACATGACGTGTGGGGTGTGAGGCGCGAGGAAAAAACGGCTGCTTGGCCGGGAGTTTGCAGCGTTTGAGGTTGAGGGACGCCGCTATGTGTGGCGTCGTGCTACGTCGTGGCGTGGAGCCCCC